AGTAATTCACTGAAAAGATAAAAGTGTCTCCTCCCTTCCAAATTCCCCGTTTTGAAATGGAATTCCTTCCGTGGGCAGCAGGAAATCCTGCGCTAGGCGCGTGGCGATGTGTGCGCGTTGCCCTGAAGGAACAGGCGGACCGAGGCCCTCGTCAAGAGCCGCTTTCCGAAGGGGCTGCCCGGCCCGGCGGCGCCGCGCCCAGGCGGGCGGGCCCGGTTTAGTTTAGGGAGCCCAGGCGGCGCCTCGCGGGAGCCTTTGGGTCTGGTCTCCCGACCTGGCATTGACCGGGGGGCCGCCCTCCCGCCCCAGCCGTAGCGCGGCCCTGGCCAGAGCCCGTCCTCGGCCCCGGTGCCCGGCGGCTGCCCCTGGTCCCTGTAGCTGCAGCGCCTTGGGTCGGCTTTTACAAGGAACTTCCTTCTGAAATGCTCATAAAAAATCAGCTGACTGATAGCGAGGGGCTTTAGGTGTGAACAGGAGAGCATTTTAATCTCCATGTGAGGAAGATCCTCTTTGCTGTGAGGGTGCCGGAGCCCTGGCACGCTGCCCAGAGGCTGTGGAGGCTCCTGCTCTGCAGATCTCCAACCCGCCTGGACGGACCCTGTGCCCCTGCTCTGGTGTCCCTGCTGGAGCAGGGCTGGGCTGGGGGATCTCGGGAGCTCCCTGGATTCTGGGATTTTGTTCTGCAGTTATAGCAGGTTGATTTAAATCAAAAAGAATAAGTTGTCCCTTAAAATTAACAGCACAGTTTTAAATGGGGAGTGGCCCGCTAATTGTACAATTGCAGCAAAGTTAAATTTAAAGAATTTTACATAAAAATAACTGTAACTTATATCTTGAGCATGAGCTACCCTTTGAGCATAATCTTGTAGGTTATTCCTGTAGATTAACAGTGATGCAAATTTATTTAAAAGCCCAGGCTAGATTTTTTTTTCTTAAAGTTAAATGAAATATTTTCACTTGCATCTTGTTTTTTTTTTTCTTATTACTATTTCAAAAGATAGGAATAATCTGACGATTTAGGCATATAACTTGGGCCAGTAATTACAAAGAATTACTTCCAATGGTACATGATTACTTCGATAGTTTTGGGAAAGTCACTTAGGTCTTTTAGGTCTTATTTTCCTCAAATGCACAGTATTATATTAGTAGTACTGGGGATTATAGTTTGCTAAGGACTTAATATTCTATATATCTTCTATATTATAGATCTTTTATACTTAATATTTTTCGATATTAAGAAAAACTTAAGAGCCCACAGAGAGAAAGAAGATTTGGGCACTTCGATGAAAGTGGATTTAATCTACAACTCTAACAAAAAGTGAGGGTTTTATTTTTCTTTATTGAATAAGAATAGTGGATTATAAAACTAGTAGCAAGTTAGGGAGAAAATTTAGAAGTGACAATAGCTTTCCTGTCTGGAAAGAAGAGAGATATTTGCTCTGAAGTCTGCTGATTCATATGTGCTTATGTGATACAGGATTATTTGGCAAAAGTTTTTATAGCTTCTTGGAACTGCAGTCATGGGACTCTTACTCAGCAATGGACTGGAAAAGCAAACATTTCCTCTCAAGAATGCCAGTTAAAAAAAAAAAAAAGAGAGAAGAAAGATTTTGTTTGCTGGACTACTTCACCCTTTTTTTTTCTTTTGTTTTCTAAACTACAAAAAAGCATTTGTGTGCTTTTCAAAAATTTTATTAGAATGCTTGATCACATTTCATCCGCTTCCAAATGCGAAAAACTCAGCTGTTGAGTAGTAGTGTTCCTGAATGTTCATGAGAAATTTGTATTTAAAGTAGGGCCTTTATTACTACATGATCAGTAACTGCTTCCGGGAAGGTCACAAAACAGTTTCTGTTCTAGTTTATTTGTGCTCGCATTATTGTTATTGCTTAACTTCTAAGTTGGAAATTTTCCATGTTTAATCTGTAGAAGCTTATTTTAAAGAAGGCCAATCAGGTAGGTGAGAATGGAGAAAATGCAGCATCATAAAGGGCAGCAGCTTGGATAGTGAGGCTTTGGATTGAGGCTATCACTGAAGTAAAGATGCACTGTAAAAGAAGTGCCAGTTATTTTAAATGTATTGTGGAAATTAAGATTCTGTCCCTATACTTTGCTGTGATTTACATAGATAAATTCATCCATAAAAGGCATGGATTTCTTCATAAAAAAGGGTTACTTTTCTGCCTGTGCCTTACGCAACTGGGAGGGTTGTGTGCTTTGTCGGCAGTGTGTTTATTCTAGCCGGCAGCAAATGTTGAGCAGCTGTTCTTGACTCTTGCTGGTGTTTGGAGTTCGAAGGAATACGGCTTCGGCAGCATGCTGCTGCGACTGCCCACTATTCCATGTGTGCAGTGCCCACTGGCATATTCCCAAAACAACATTAAATTCTTGCAAAACTAATCACTTTAGAAGTTTATACCCTAGCAAAGTTGTTGATTCCTCAGGCAAGTCCTTTTGCCTGGTGCCCTGGTGAATCCTAAGTTTGGTAGCAGTGTTAAGGGGTGTTCTACGTTTGCAGTTAGGTTAGTGCTAGATGGTACTCGGCCACCAGCGACAAATGTTTTTATGGTTTCTTCTACTTCAAAACTTAAGAGAACTTTTCCCAAAAGCCAAAAACCTCTGTCCGACTAGGACATCTTCCTTACTCAGTTGGACAAAGTGAATTGTGAGGTTTTGGCAACAAAGATACCGTGCAAGGCTCTGCAGGTGTAAGCAGAGCAGCTGCAGCACACGGTAGCAAGTGTGAGCACCACATCCAGACCGCCAGACTAGAAAATACCAGCATAAAAGGAAGGTATAAAAGCACTCTGCCAACAGATGGTGCGTTTCTGAAGAAGCTTTATCCCTCTTTATGTTGAATGCAAGTCACAGTCACCCCATATTAGCGAGCATGACTTTACATACAGATTTACCTAGCTGTCACCATACCCCGTTTGTCTCTAGCAATGCACAAGCTGGTGGCTGCATGTAATTCCCAATCGCATTGTCTAACACTTGGCTACTTTGTGTCTTCAGTAAAACCCTAGAGAAAAAGAAAAGCTGTTCAAAAGTCTTAAATGGATTATTTCATCTGGCTTCAGTTTACTTACTGAACTTGGCTGTGCTTCAAGAATTGTAACGTATAAAAGCTGCATAACTTTTTAAAGTTCTGCTGGGTGGTCTCATAACTGTAGATGTTTTACAATTCTAATTTTTTTTAATAAATTTGCATTCTGTTTGTATTCTTTGCATAACTCTACTCAAAACTCCACTAGGAGGTTGGTAATTCTCAGTACTTAGGGTGATGGTGATAGGACTGTGGAAAAAGATTAGACATCAGCTCAGGCACCTCATTCTTAATTTTTTTTTCAGTGATCTGGGTGGAATCATGTGGCCTTGGTGACATGTTGTCAGTTACTTTCCTATCTTCTAACTAGTGTGTTACCCTTATTCTCCTGCAGTTCACATTGCTCCAAGAGTAAACTTTAGGAGGATCGGGGGCTTCAGAGAATCTTAATCCTGACATCTAGCACTGTGCTGTGAGGAGCTACAGCCCTCCCTCAGCTGGGGCACTGATATAAACTTGCAATGTTTTCTGTTGGCAGATTTGCAGCACAGCTTGTCCTTCTGACCCTGCCCAGAGTCCGTGATGGCAAGAATCCCAAGTTCTGCACTGCATGCTCTGTGGATCCTTTTCTTTTCACATGCAACAAATGAAAGTACGTTTGTTAATGTTTTATGTTATCATACTGAAATTGTCTACATTATTTTACTATGAGTAGGAATAACTAGTACACAACTTTGTTACTACAATTAATTGACTTGGACAAACTGTAACTGTGTATTAGAGATATACATATATTAGAATAAAATCTCAGATCTTCTCTTTTTACTGACCTTTTTCGTATTGGCAATAAGTAGGAATTAGCAAGAAGCATCCCCATGATCTATCTATTTTGGATACCTTGCTACAAACAGAATTCTCTGCAATGATTCAGAGACATCTCTGTAAGCCTTCTGTAAGGTAGAAAGCCCACTTATCTCTCATTTGCTTGTTTTCATAATTGCCACTGTTCACTGGGAGAGGCAGAAAGGAATCATAAGCAGTAGACCAGGAATTGTAAAAAAAAAGAGCGAATTTATAGAGCTGTGGTCAAAGGCTGCTGTCAGCATGCATTCTCGCAGGTGTGTAGAATTACTAAGCTAGAAAATTTAGTTGTGTGGATTTGAACAAATATTGCAAGCACTCACCATAAGGCATTTCGTACAGTGACTGTGGCTTGTACAAGGGCAGAGGGCTGGCGTGCAGTGATGAGCACACAGGACACCACATCTTTCAGCCTGGCAAGATGTATATTTATGTTAAGCTAATGTAAATGTTAATGCTCGTTACTAAATGGCTATTTTCTTAAAGTCACTGACAGAAGATGAATATGACCTTTTTTCCCCCCTTATCTTTTCTGATATTTCATTATAAAGAGAAGCTAGATTTACAAAATCTTATCTTCTGGGAACATGTCTTTATTTTCTGGAAAATCGGTTTTTATTTTGCTTTCCATAAATTTTAAGTAGCTACATATCTGCTTTATTTTTAAGAAAAGCGGTTTAAAAAAAACGTGAAAGAGGAGGAAAAAAAATAAGTTTAATAGCTATTCCCTTATGTGCTCTGAGTTCAGAATATGATGCTGGAAGGAATGCTGCAATTTAGATTAATGGCAATGATCAAACATTATAAGTGCACATTAGCTTGGTCATTTGATCTAGGTGATTCCAGATTTTCTGTAAATTATCAAGTTTTATTTTCATAGATTACCACACTTCATCATATTATTCTTGCTAAGGATGAAAAAAGTCCATTATTTTAGTTCCCTTTTTAAGCTACGTGAACTGAAAGCAAACTTCATACTGCATGTGGTTTCAAAAGGAAATTTGTAAATGTCTGAGATTTACAGAAATGTCATACCAGAGATGGAAAAGGGAAAAAGTCACAGGAAAGGAATACAAGGAATAGTTTACAATGCAGGAAAGACATAAGGACACTAAAAGGCAAAATAAAGCTGCAAGTTATCGTAACAGCACAGCACGAAGAGCTTCATATATTTCAAGGGGTCTTGAAAGTATAAGGTCGTTAGCACACTGAAAAAAATGGCTAAGTCCATCTTTAAAGGGCTTAATATTTTGTAGTTTAAAATCCATTTTCAGGTGAAAAATAATAAAAATGAACAGTAAAAACATAAATAACACAAATATAAGTAACAGTAACAAGATAAATAACAGTTCTTATAAAGTGAGCGATGTGGCCATTAGAGGATTGCAAAAGTTTTATCTTATTTTTCTGTGTATTTTATTTTTCTCTTGTTTTGGTTGTTTTTGAAAAACGGGCAATGCAGGACAAAAGGGAACTAAATATGATGTTGTCATTCAGAAAGAAATTGAGTGCTTCATTTTTTCTGTAAGGCATGCATCTATCCTTGGTAACTAAAATACAAGACACTATTTGAACATACTTTGAACATATTCACATATTTGAATAATAATGCCACTATGAACTACAGGTAGCTCTAGGTTTAAAGCCTGCCAATATACCAGAAAAAAACTGATCAATTCTTGCAGAATTTAAAAATGGTTCTTTGAAACTGTGATGCAGATCTGCTTAGATCGCCTGTTTTATAGGAGGCCTTTTTAAAAGAGAAGTGATATGTGGTACCAAAAGAGACAGTTCAAAACAATGAACTATTTCTTTGAATCAATTTTCTAATGAAGTGACTCTGGACTTGATGGTAGGCCAATTCTATCTGAGGTATCATTAGGCACACTAAAAGGTAGGTGCCAGAATGTTTATCTGAAGAAGCAGTACTATAACAAAGTATGCAGGAGGTCTTATGTAAGGGGGGAAAAAAAAGCACGAAAAATCCACAAAAAAAAAAAAGGGAAGAAAATTTTGCAACCTGATGTTGCTGTCAGTGAAAGCATTTTGTGTGTGGGTGTGTAGGAATAATCTGAAATGTAGATGCTTATTGGGATGAAGAAGCCTGCAAAACAGCAGTGTCTAAAGGCCCTTACAGGATGTGGATCAGTGACAAACTTGAATTTGCAGTATAAATGATAAGAGGCTAGGCTGCATAAGCAGAATTGTTTGTCTGCTATACAAAAATGAAATCATGTCTTCATATGACCCTTATGTAACTGCAGCAGG